CACTTCATACGAATCACCCAGTAATATTACACAATTTACTCTACAATCACAAAGTAACATTATATCGTCCTCTTGACGTGAAAAACCCTGTATTACCTTGTATACGTAGATTTCCGTTCGTAAGTATTAGAACATCTATTATGTTTGCAGAAAGTATTGTATGATTTAATTGCATTGCTTCGCCAAAGTTAATATCATAAGATAGTAAAAATATATAGCGTGTTCGTGCCATTAGTTTCCAGCGTTTTTCTTGTAAGCGATAGATTTATGAGAAAAATAAAAGAGAACAAAACTTGGAATAGGAATTGGAAAACGGAATAGATAAAAGATAAACAAGAGTTTATCAAGTTTAAAACAATACAATTCACTCTGCAAACATAGAATAACATATAAATCACCCAGAGTATTTTATCAACTATATACAACCAATAAGTAATCAATTATTTTTTTAATAAGTTAGAAATGTCGTTGAAATTCAAAATGTACGGTACAAGCTGATCAATCTTAACCTAAAAAATCAATCGATACTGTAGTAACGAAGATAGCAACCGACACACAACAACATATGTATACCTAAGTCACTGCATTCCGTATGAATATTAAAAGTGGACAACTGCTGCGAAAGTACGCAGATCAATACATTCTTTTCTTGGTAAGAACATTATATCATATGACGTAATCCAAACATTAGTCCAAACGTTTCAAACACGATAATTTCGATCTTAACGATCCTGAACGTTTAAGTGTTCCCTCTAAAATGCGGTAACGAAGAATTGCAAAAGTTACCGGACGAAATCTAGCACAAACGCAAAAGGAACTTGAAAAATCATTTGAAAGAAGTCAACAGAGATAAAAAATTAGTGAAAAATAAATGCTGAATTTCGACTAAAAAAGAATGGATTATTCATTGGTACACCTAACGCAAACCATTCTGCAAACATAGTATCCATTAGGTTGAAGCGTATGAAACTCGACACCACACTTTCTTTCTTAGAAAAATAATATACACTCAGTCGAAAAGTCTTCGTTACACATCATTAGAATTTATTTTGCGATGGATAACTTTAGTAGAGAATAATATTTACGTTATTTTATTTAGAAGAATAATTTAATTTGTTAGTAATTAAACAAATAAATATAAATGTAAGCAAATATTTTCCATTATGGGAAAAATATTTTAAGTAACGTTTTTTCTACTTGTCTATATACAAGAAACTAACTTGTATTTGCCTTTCGAACCTTGTTTGTAAACATTTTACTGAATTCTTAGATGCTGTATGGAAATTTTGTTCATCTGATTTCTCTTGTGTTATTCTTTTTCCTTAGTTTCGTTATTAAAAAGTAAATATAAATTCTATGTTGGAATTACACAACGTTAAATAAATTCTAATGAGGTGTACGGAAAACTTTTTGACTAAGTGTATATTTAAGTGTCTTTATCTATATTTCTTTTGGAGATAAGAACGCTAAAAAAAGGAATCCTAACCCACCCTGTACATATATTTTACATATAATCACCGCTGTCACATGTTTGTGTTAAAGAAGAACGAATTTATGAAACACACTACACAAGGTATCTAAAAATTATTAAAAAAATTCGGTAATTTTTTCCAAAGTCAAATTCTTTAGAATTCACCCCATACTTACGCTATATTTTTCCATCAACTTCTGTTCACATTATCATGAATTTAATTAACAAACATTCCTTTAAAAGGTTCCACAGATGAAATGAAAAAAAAAAAAAAGAATTGAAGAAACATTAACGTCTGATCAAGGATGAAACGATTTCCCACCGTTATCTCTGATGCGTCATAATTATTCACCACACAAAGAAAGAACTCTAAAAGCCGCAGATTATGAAATCGTGAGTGAAAATCATCGCACAATGTCACGTTGTATATCTTTTTTCCTCATTTTTTTTACGTTCCATGTGAAGAAGCAATTAATGGAAATCTGTCTCTGATCTGAAAGCGCCATTTGAAAATCACCGTCAACGAGAGGAACTGATTAAGATGTATTATTTTACATCGCTATCGAGTCGCTTAAGGGTCAGAACAGGCCATCTTAAGCCGCAGATAAATGGAAAAAATAAGGCGAGCGTACGCGAAGGGAGCGAAAGGTCGGATTACTCGAGACCGTTCGAGGAATCTGTTTCGAAAGCAGACGTTTCGAGTTCTGATGATCAAACGGTGCATGGTGAAACATGCATGACGACGAAACAAAATCGAAATTGATACGTTATGAACATATATTTTCTTCTTGTGTACTTTGAGGGAACGAAAATGGAATTTTTCAAGTCGATAATTAGCTACTAATTAATGCATTGTTGGAACATGCATACTGACGAAACAAAATCGAAACTGGTGCGTCAAAAAATATATTTTTCTTTTGTGTACTTTGAAGATAAAAGAAAAATGTAAATTCTGAAGATAATAATTGGCCAATAATTAAAATGATTTATGCAGGTATTTTAATTTAATAATTAAATTGATAACTATATGTTAATTGTCTTGTTTCATACAGGAATCTTTTTTAACATGTTGCAAGTCAAATTTTTGGAAAGAGAATAAATTAAAACAGTGTTAAAATCGAAGAAAAAAGTGAAAAGTAGAACAGGGGTAAAACGCATTAATATTGTGTATTTTTAAAGCAACACATTCTTTTTTTACACTTTTCCCGATACAAAATAACCACTTTTAAATAGACCAAAATGCCGACCTTTAAATATCATGAAACGAGAGAAAGTGGACTAGTGACATTAAAAAAAAAAAAAAGAACAGGTAACTGAGATTAGCTGTTTATTACAGTGTAATTTGTTTTATTATTGGAGCCATTCAGCTATTTAGTTCGTGATTCGTTTAATTATAATTCCCTCGCCAATTAGCAGGGGTTCATTCTGACCTTTAATCGATTAATTTGTTTTTTAATAGGTTGCAAGTCCATGATGAAGTATTTTGTTAGTGATTCATTTTCAGTAATTTGAGGCATTTGTATTTGTTATTTTCTTCGATAAATAAAGTTCTGCAACATTTTAAATGTTCCAGATCATTACGTTACAATTTTCTGCGTAATTTTGAATTTGTTTAATTAAAAAATTTGTCAGTTACCTTTTTATATTTTTCTTTTAGACTATGAGGAAGGGAATTTCGAAGCGTTGTTTGTTAAACAATTTAAACACGAATCAGGCGAATCAAAACAAAAATGTAAGAACACGAGGAAGCAGCACGGTCGAATCAAGTGGTAACATTGCGATCTTACACTGAATCGATTTCGCTATCGTTCGTTTTATGTCGAATCAACATTCTGCGAGGTCGATTATTTGCAGCTATGCAAATAAATATCTTTTATTTCTATCTAACTTACTGGTGATTAATATTACGTAAAAAAGAAATAAAATATATCTTTCTCTTAGATTATCTTTTCCTACGAATTTTTTTCACTTCAATGAAAATTAAAAAATCCTTTATTATTACGAAAAGAAGTAAACTAGAATTCATGGCTGATGAAAAATCCAAGAGAATTTTGCAATCAGTTACTTTTCGCGAACGTGATGGAAACTTCGACGACCACGATTTCCGGTTTGGCCACAAGAAATGAAAATAGAAAGTTTCATTGGTAGCGACCGCAAGAATATTGATACAGATAAACACCTCTCGTTACATTACTTTGATTCAGATAACAGCCAGCAATTAACAAAAAAAATCTTTGATCAACAAGAATGGAGAGAGAGAGAGAGAGAAAGAGAGAGAGAGAGATCACATCACCATGATAAATTTTAGCACGTGTGCTTATTTGCTTGGTATTCAAGGAAAACTTCGAACAATTAATACGCAATAATATTTCCAAACATGATGGGGTAAATGATGTAAATAAAAAACATCAATTTAGCGTAAACAATATAATAGAACAACATAAATATTTAATCAACCAATATTTACAGCAGAAAAAAAAATGTACGAAAGGCATTTACAAACGAAGAAAAAAATCTGAACGATGATCGTTGTTTACCAATAAGAAAGAAAACAAACGTTCCGAACACAGTTTGCAGTCTATTTCGAGAAACCACTCTACGCACACTTCATCGAACCTCGATCGGTTAACATTCGATGCAAACGCACAAAAATAATGGCTCTATATCGAAGGAACACGGCCAATCGTGATAAGCGTACAAAGTACGAGCATACTAGACGGCTTGATACCAGCAAACAGTCACGAAATGGTTCGCTTGGATCGATATTAATACAATGTTGCAGTTATATCGCTGGCGAAAACGTGTAATCGAACTGGTCAGAGATACACATCGATAGAAATGTGTTCTTTTTATCGATGGTGCCAAAGTTTACGTGCACGCCTCGAGACATACCGGTTAATACGAAGAACCATCTCTTTTTCAGCGAAACACACGATTTATTGTATTTGCTAATCAACAGATGACGTTGCACTTTACACATAACGCGGAAATATAGCCATTCATATCAAGCACAAGAAAAAGCATAATTTAGAAAAAGAAAGAGTGATATTCGAACCCTATTACGTGTACTTGATTTTTTTCAACATTCTTAGGTACGAAGTTTCTATATTTCTATCAATTACATTTCACTTATTACCCGTAATCATCGAAAAGAAAACACGATTCGTCGAAACATCACGTTCTACTACACGCACGTTATCGCAATCCCGGTCGAACGACGGCAAACCAGCCGTTTCGGTACGTTCAATAATTTGGAGAGCAATATCGATCCATCGTTACGTCGCGGGGACACGAAAGCGACGAACAAGGGCAACAAGGAAACAAGCGTGACGTGTGCCCCGTGAAATAAAGATGTAAAATAAGAAAGAGAGACGACCAAGCGGTTAATTTCCGTGGAAAACGAGCCCCGCTCGCGGATCTCGCGCACGTCTCGTGTCCAAAATGGCTGGTCGCTAAAATTAGCGTCGGAAGCAACGGAACGATACCAGATAGGACGTCGCCGTCGCTACTATGCCCTGGTTCCACTCACCTTGACGTCGAAGAAAAGTCATATAAAATGGTATCGCCCTGCTGGACGGCCGCCTTCTAGCGTGAAAATTGAACGGTTGTTCTCGTAGATGTATCGAGACAGATGGATCGCCCTGTCGGGTGCACCCCAGTGTCTCGTTTTACGTCTTTCTACGATGTCGCCTACGAAAGTCGGTCGTCGAAACGGTCAGTCGTGTCGACGTGACACCGTGCCGATGCTTCTGCTTGCTTGCTGATCTTTTTCCCTGCTCGATGACAAGTAATAGATTCCTGTCGTCGAACGATTATATGTTTGCTGGATTATTCTTCTTGGTTGCTCTACGTGTTGGTGCGTAACTTTTTCGCCTGCGACGTGCACACGAAACGTTCCGGCTTCTGAGACGACTACTGCCTGAATACAACTGCAAACGCTCTTCGAGACCAGGGCCGTAAACGGTGACTCGCGACTCCTTGCGAATGATAGCGGCGCCTCTACCTTTCATGAGTATTAATTCGTTTTTTGTTCGAATCACGTGACCCTACTATGGCGATATCACCACATACGGTGATGCAACAGAAATTTTGCGTTTCCTCTACTCATGATTTGGTTCTCTGATTTTTCTGATAAGAATTTCACTAATACTCGTTAATGGAACATTATTGTATTAATATATGAATGTATATATGATTATGAAGTAAATTTATTTGTAATAGCAGAACAATGCAAAAATTTATTTGCTCGTACGTGCTTACATGAAAAACAGTTGAAGAAAGATATGTAGTGGTACGGTAGTCCTATCTATCATAAATTATTGTCTATGCCTAAACGATGAAATAACTTAAAATAGAATAAAGAATTTGAGGATTTCTTTTTAAATTAATAGATATTTTTAACATTTATTTGTGAATTGTCAATTGTAATGAAAAAATTATTAATGTCAATAATATCATTTTGTAAATATTTTGATATTCAATTTTTTCACAATTATTTCATAAAATTACCGCCAAGATAAAGTATATGACTCGTTGATAATTTATCAAATTATCAAGAAATTCTATTTTACAAGTTTAGGATTAGATATATACATTTTTTAAGCGTTCTGATACAATATCAAAAGTTGCGACAATTGTAGCAACATTACGTTTATGGGCAACCTAACCTCTCTGCTAGTGTAAAAAGTAGCTGCGCACGTGATGTGCGGTACAATTCCTGTTACTTATATATTAATCGATTTATATTAAATATAGTTAACAATATTTGTAATATAATATGTACTTTTTTCGGTTATATTATGGTAAATGAATTCCTGCGAATATTGCTATAATATAGTCAATATTTAATAACGAAAGCTTCAATTTAAAGGAGCAAGACTTCTCGTTGTTAACTCTTAATTTATTAAAACGTGTAAAAGATGACTTCACCGTTTACTTGTATTACATGCCGTGTGGCATTTCGAGATCTGGAAATACAAAGACAACATTATAAATCAGATTGGCACAGATATAATTTAAAGAGAAAAGTGGCAGATCTACCTCCAGTTCCTGTGGAAGAATTTCAAAGAAGGGTAATAGCACAAAGGAACAAAGATGACAAAGAAAAGGAAGAAGAAACAATGAGTTGTAAGGTATGCAGAAAAAATTTTAACACAAGAAATCAATATGAAAACCACTTATCATCAAAGAAACACAAAGAAAAATGTGCAAAACAAAACACTTTTGAAATGTCCAGTGATAATGCTGATTCTACGCTTAATTCTGTAAGTAAGAAAGATATGAACGAAGAAAATTCTAATAGACAGTCAACAGAGGACATGGAGGTAGATTCTGATGTTGAGTCTGTAGACTCTGATGTGTGGATGCAAGACACTGAAAATCCAGTCACAAATAACAACTGTTTATTTTGTAATCATCACAGTAAGACTATGGTACGCAATTTAAAACATATGACAATTGCACACTCATTCTTCATACCAGATCCTGAATATTGTGTAGACATCAAAGGCTTACTTACATATCTTGGAGAAAAGATTTTTGCTGGATACATGTGCATATGGTGTAACAATTCTGGTAACTTAATTAACATTATTACTTTTACAATCACATAATAATTAGCAAATTAATTCTGATTATTTTATAAATTAATAGGAAGATATTTTCAAAGTGCTGATGCTGTTAAGGCACACATGATTGACAAAGGTCATTGTAAAATGTTGTATGAAGCATATGCACTTATGGAATATGCACAGTTTTATGATTATTCATCAAGTTATCCTGATGCAGAATCTAGTGATCCAGATGTAGAAGTTGAAGCATTAGAATTAGATGATAGTGATTATCAGCTAGTTTTACCATCAGGGAATGTTATTGGTCATAGATGTTTGATGAGATACTATAAACAAAACTTGAATCCAAATAGAGCACTTGCAGTATCAAAGAGTACAAAATTACACAAAGTGTTGTCGCAGTACAGAGCTCTTGGATGGACGGAAACGCAAAAAGAAGCTGTTGTTAAGAAAGTCAGGGATATCAAGTATATGCAGAGAGTACAGGCAAAATATTCTACACAATTGCAGTTTAAGGCAAACAAGTTTCAGAAACATTTTAGACCTCAGGTGAACTATTGAATGTGCTTATTACATATATAAATATTGTTGCAAGACTGCATTCCTTTTTAAATTATATAATTTGTATGAAAATTTAATTGTTAAGCATGCTTTCTGCATTGCATATTTATACATTTATTTTGAAATAAAGTTGTACTTATTTAATTGAAATTTGTGTTTAACATAGTTCTGAAGTTGATTAGAAGGATATATTATTAGACAGGAGTCATTATAAACTGTAATATTTATTTGGCGGATACTTTTACAAAATAACTTGTAATATATTTTCGTAACACGTGACACCAACAAAAATAATACTTCTTGTTACTTTTATTCTTTATACTCATGTGGACCCATCCAGTAACTCCTGTGATCATGAGCTAAATCACCGTTTTCGATAGATTGTTATACACGAATTAAGATATAATCCGTGTTCTCCGTTCTCGTTCGATAGCTGTAAAAAAACTCGTACACGATTCAAAAACGTCGAACGTTTGTGTACTATGTATGTAGGTATACGATATACTTTCAATTTACTACCAGCGAACAGTAGAATTGTACAGAAGAGGTTAACAAATGTCAAACTATAACATTTGACACACAATTCCAACCACGAAACTATCGTCGATATACGCTGACATTTCTTTACAATACACGAAGACGTGAGTTACTTTTCATACATCTTTTACCATGCAAACCACAGCAGTTCGTTTCGTTTTGAATCAGCAGAATGCAGAACAAAAGCCCAATGAACGAAATGTTAAATGGATTTTTATTCTTGCATTTGTCAACTCAGATATATATAATATTAATTTTGTATTATATTTGTTTTTGTCTTAATGACAGCACATCATTCAGAACACAGACAAAGGGACAGTAACCGATGCCTCAAATCGTTAATACTTTCTAAGAGAAACACACGGTCCGCCCTTTTTAGATATAAGTACTTCATAAATGCGTTTGAGACAAACATACATTAGAGACCTGTTATTGTCACACAACGATACACATAGTTTACACTACTGCTCTTTTGCAACATATTTTTTTTTTTGTATTTTTTTCTCTATTTTTTGCTGCTTATTAAAGATTTCTCAAGATTAACGTCAAATCTCATTTTGTTCTCTCTCTTTCTACATATATGTATGTATTTAATTTAACACCTTCACCATCAGCATTAAAGCCTGATGGGGAGGGGCAGGTCTGATTGATTCGTGGAGATCCGTATAAGGGATCTCAGCCTCTACCTGAAAACCATGTTTCAAGCATACTTTCTGCGAAAACATTCCCGTCGCGTCAGCTTTGAATACCTGCAAATACATAACGATCTGAACACCATATATAGGGACATTTTAAGTTTGACACAAAACATTTACATACACTTCGGTATGAAGTACACTGCGTGCAAAAATACCTCGTTCGAGAAAGTAACGAGTGCATTGCAATTTTACATCTTGGTAAACGAAAATCATCCCATGCATATTAATCGAAGAACATGCTGAAACAAAAACAAAATGTGAACTTCTCTCCAAGGCGGCCACGTTTCCACGACACATCGTGCTATACATATGTACAACAAATACACAGAATCTATGTTTTAATAGATTTATTTTTTTCGAGTCAATTGTTACTTTATTCAGATCATATTCTTTTATATTGTATTAAGAGAGTAATTTATTCATTAGTTATTATGTTAAAAAAAGCAATGTCCTATACACAAATTTTTGCAAAATATAATCCAAATTTGGGGATGTGCCTTAAAATTAGAACAAGCTTCCGGTAGGGAGTGGTAAAGGTCATGGAGCACAGTTCTAAAACGATCTTCCGTCGTACTTAAATAATGCATGCTTTAACAACATTTACTATACAGAATTACGTATCTCTTTTCGAGAAAGTCACTATAATTATGATCACGAAAATCAATTGTATTTAGGATTACCTTGAAACCAGCATTTTTTGCCGTTTCTATACTGTCTGCCATCAGAACGTTTGCTAAACCCTTTCCACGGAAGTTTTCATCGACACTAAGAATTCGACATTCGAATAACTCGTCGACATTGTACTTGGAAAAAAGATCGATTTTTTCATTAACTTTGTAGAGGAGCCCGAATATTATTTTGAATTTCTCGTCGTTCAATTCGGCCAGCCGACGCTCAGCTTCTTCGCGCTCTCCCTTCTTCAGTATACCATTCAGAGCCATACCAGCTATCTGATAGGACAGTTCTTATGATCGACAGTGAACTTAGCGTTCAAGGTCCGTACATCGTGCGAAAACATTCGTTCATGAATGAAAAATTTATAACGTACAAAGGTAATCGTTAAATTAAAAAGGTGCATATAATTATTTCTTTATTGTAAAAAGAAAATATTACAAAATTTCTATTCTTCGCTATTCAACTTACCGTCCCATTCTGATCCACCAGCATCCTCGAGTATCCCTGTTTTAAAGTGAGCACGCAGTGTCTTTCCAGCTCGAACTGACTCTCTCCTTTCCCGCAGAGTCCTACCGCGTGATTCAACGGTTCGTCGGAAAAGAAATTCCATTTTAAGTGGTGGATCGCGTCGTCAAAGCGATTTTGTGGAACTTCCACAACCGTTAAATGATCGGACGACATCTTTGGGGTGGTCACGGCACGAATTTTCCGCGCACTGAAAGGATTTTCCACGCGCGCACCACCCTTAGTAGGGAGAGTTGACTCATATGGGAAAAGGTCCATATATTGATTGACCCAGTTCAAGAAATTTACTGGCTACAATGATTATGCATCCTTCTTAATTATTCCGAACGCGGAATGTATCGCTGTCCGTGTACCAACGGTACCAACGGCTATCAATGGGGAATAGGAAATTCATGAAGTTATTGGATCGATATCTTTATCAATAGAATACACCTTTAAGAATGAACATGTCTATTCTTTAATGAAAATTGGTGATGTACAAATGACGTGAAATGAATGGATCCTTTCTATGAAAAGTAGAGGGGATGCAGTGATGGTGGATACAGAGAAGAATATAACCATAGGGATAAATATATATATGTACATATTTATTATCCGTAAATTCTCACTAGATAGTTGATTTTATAACCTTCCTTAACGTTGTTATCGTCGCGAATTATTCGCGTTCAATACGCGTAACAACCTGAGCACGTTTAATACGTTTATACATAATACAGTTTCAGTAAATATCAAGCCAGTGATATTGGGCTAACCAGACACCAGTTTTCAATGAGTATACCGAAATAGTTTCCAATGCAATTTATCACATAATAATAATGTTAAAAAATATTAGGAATACCATAGAATCATTACTATCTGCTTTTTCATATTCTGATAATACAATCTTTTGCGTAACGTAGTTGTACTGTGTAATTGGTATTGTCCAAGGATTTTTGTGAAGGGACTAAATTTGTTCTCATACTTCATTGGATTCGCTCCTTAACACAGTCGCTCAGAATCAGAACATACTTTTTTTTAATACTTCAGAAGGTGAAAACAAGTTATTTACAGTATTTAGAATAGAATGTCCTCATCCCCTTCATCTAACATATTTGCAGTTGGTTCATCATAGCCAGCAGCTACCATTTCCGCCCGAATTATATCAAGCTGTAAAACAATTTAAACATTGTAGAAAACTCTACTAAAAAATATAAATATGCAGTGATGTTTGAAATACAAGGTTTACCTTAGCTTTAGCTTGTTTCTTCTTATCTTGAATCTTTTTTAATCTATAGAATTCTTCTCTTTCCAATTCATCCAATTCAGATATGATATAAGCAAGAGTTCTCTCGATTCTTGGAATGATAACATGTTCAATGGCATTCACACGGCGATTTGTGATTTTAATAACCTCATCCAAGGTTACAAAACTTGTTTGCAAGGATGCTAATTCTACTAATAACTTCACTGCTTTTTGATAATTTTTTTTCAATTTTGCCAATTGTTGACCACCTCTTGCTAAACCTGCTAATTCGTATGTGTCTGTACCATCCTGATATGATTCAAACACTGGAAGATTCACACCAGCAACGTTATCTTTCTTAGAACGAATTTTAATTTGAGCTTTAGTTACATTCTGAAGAACTACTTGATTAAAGTCTCCAGTTGCAAATTTTGCTTCAGCTAATGAGAAAGCTGCCTCTTTCATGACTTCTCCCATCAGAGTTTTGGTCTGCATATAAAGATAAATGGAATTACTATGGAAAAAGAAAAGCAATTATTGACATGTATATAATTGTTTTCGGTACCTCAATAATTTTACCCAAAATTAATCTAAAACGCATTTGCAATGCATCTGCTTTCTTTTTTAATAAACCATGACCCTTTTGAGCTCCCTGTAAACGGGATTTCATTAACATTTGTGCTCTGCAAAAAAGATAAAAACATTTTAATTCTGTCATATTTTATTTTTAACGTCGTTTAATTATATATGATGAAAAACTATTGTATGTACATTACTGTCAGTTATAATCAATATAATACAACAAACAAAACAGTGTATAGACTTGATGTCTTTGAACAACAATTGAATAGATGAAGTCATAATTTTTTAGGAAATAATTATGTGTTGATAGTATGATTGTATATTAAAAAACACGATTAAATGTTTAAAACAAATTAGGGTTACACCCATCTAATGACGAATGATAACAGTTTCACAGAATTTGGTATTAATGACAATAAGTGTTAATTAAATGAAAGATAAGGTCAATTAATAAATAAAATGTGCTCGTGCTATTTAAGTAAGAAATACTTACCCCCGAGAAGGGAAAATTGCCAATTTATCTTTTCCAGACATTGCTCTGAGAACTATCAAGCAGACAGGAATGAGATTGATCAGCTGACTCGTACGACCGGAAGTTTTAATTATATATATATAGGCGCGCAGGGAATGGCGCGTAATTTTAAAAATGTTAAAATATCTTAACAAAGAAGAACAATAATAAACATGATATATTTGATCATTTCTAATACGATACACCAAGTATGTGGAACAACTGAACAATGGAACGTGTCAATATAAACATAATTATATTTGGAAATTAAATTACAAAATTCCCAATATTAAATTAACAAAACTCAACTTAATACAAAAATGAAATTATAAGGATTAAAAACAAGAATTTTCAATGAGACCAATCATAAAAGTTCCTCCTCGTTTGAAGAAATGAGAAATTTGTTTGTAGAACGATTAAAAAAAGAAAATCGTTGTTTTCGTATTAGTGATAACAAGTCAAAGAATACGTTCAGAATAGACGTTTTTGGTGCTGTCAATTCGCATAGCACGTACAGAAGTTGCTTGCAGCCAAGAATAATAAGAAAAGCCACCGAAGAAATTCTTATGAGAATGAATATTAATCGTTTTTAGATAGAGGTTTGTCTATATTTCACATATGACACGATAAATGAGCGGTAATCAGGAAATCTTCATTACAGATCTACTTATATTTCTGTTCTGGTAAATTGCCATAAGTTTCGAGGAAAAAATGATTCACATCTCAGATATCTCAAAAGATTTTATTCTAAATAAAGCAGTCCGCGATGCCACTAACATTATACTGAAACCATACACGCCAGTAGTAATGTCTGAATCTTGTCAAACTCAAGACACTTATGAAAGTAAATATGAAGCGATTAATCGTATTAAAGAAACGTGCATATCGCATTCGCAAGATTTTTTATTAAAAATGGCAACAATTGCATGGGACTTTTTAAATATTTTAAACATGTCCCAAAGTAATCTGAAAAATCAGAGCATGGAGGAAGATATTCCAGATACTGATATTTAAATATTAATAACGAAATACTAAATAAGGTGAATGTATTTTGTATAATGCAGCTTCTATTGCCAATGTGAATTGACAGCTTACATAGTAACAGAGAAATAAGTATATCACATTAATGTAATTAATATAAGTATTTTTAATAAAAATATACAAAGAAATTTTGTACAACAATTCATAAAAGAGCCAACTGTCCGGGTTTTAACACCTGTCATATATTCATATTTATTCTGGCTTCAGAAGTGTAAGTTTTTGCTTTGTTCCAATCATCTTGATCCCATGTACAATCCTGGTTATTATCATATGAGTCCTCAGAATCCCATGGTGTAGTAGTAGCTGACAAAATTTTTGGTACTCCATGGTATCTTAAGCGTGAATTTCCAGACATTACTACTATATCTCCACTTCTTAAGAACATAGCATTTGCTGCATCATCTTGTGTAAGTCCTCCAATTAAAAATATTGCAGTTTGTCCAAAACTTATAGAAAATAAAGGTGCATCAACATTAACCTCAGAATGATCAGTATGACCAGCTAACGTTGAATTCATTCTATAGTAATTAACAATTGCTGCTTCAGCTTTAAAATCTTTAAAGTCTAAAATTTTTGCTACATATGAAGTCAGTACTGACAATTCGGTAGGTATTTCTGTTTTGCATGTTTCAGAATATAACTTTGTGTCCCAGTTATGATGATATCCCAATGTTGCCCACCTTAATTTTGCTAATAATTCTTTACCTTTGTTAGAGTTTCTGCAATTAATATATCAAATATGTATATATTGCATATATATATATTTTTTATACTGTCATATTGTTACATCTTACCCAAAACATATATCCCACCAATCTTCATCGTCATTCAAAACCTTATGGACATCCAAATTTAATTTATATGGCTTCCTTGAGTACTCTTTTAAACATTTTATAATCCAATACCGTTGTCCATAGGTGGTAAATGGATTTTTTATAAAAATCAGTCCAGGGACATCTAAAAATTTAAAGATTTCCCAGTCTTTTACTGGTTTTAATCCTAATTCGTGTTCACATCGTTCATCAAATAACTTCCCTCTAAAACTAATAACCTAAAATGAAACAACTTTTATATACAAAATACACAATTTTTAATATTTACTACATACTTTATTAGAGCCCGGATTATTTAAATCGATTACATCCTTTAGATCGGGATACGGATTTCGACTCTTATAATATTTAAAGCTATCTTTGAACATTATTAGGAATCATGGGCGTCGCCATGTTTATTAATTCACGCGCGCAACGATAGACGCCGCTGCCATAGTTAGTCAGTTGGATCCGTGTAATTTGAAAGTAGATTTTAACGCAGATTCCTAGGCAAGATACGATTAAATGCTTCGGATGTTTGAATAAGAATGTCATTTTAACCCGGTTCGCGATGGTGACGATCGAAAGTATCGATCCTCCAGTTGTTAATCATCGGACCGCGACTTTCCCTCCAAGACCCCGTAAAAATGCCACTTTTATGGCGATGCATCACGAGCAATACGCAGGTAAGCGATCGAAGATGAATCTACGATGCGATATGTGACTAAATACCCGTACAGTATCGATCGATGAGTGAACACGTAAACGGCGCATACAGCATTACGATTATTTGACTCGTTTAACATAATATCATCATCATCATCATCGCGAACTATTAATAGTTAGATACGTATCGAAAAGAAGTCTGTGTTTCAAGCAGCTTTTTCTTACCGTGCCCACCCACCCCTCCCCCTCCCCCTTCCCCTCCGACGATATACGCACACTGTAATGGACCGTGACTAATTTTAGAGCGTAATTTTCGCATAATAAGACTGCCGGGAAATCTATGATTTCATAGAGACGAAGAGAGGCGACGCCGGCCAACTTCAAGGCTTTTCGAAAGCTTCGAGCAAATTAATAGCGCGCGCCGCGTTAATAATCGTCCATTACCATCGCTCCTATTCTCCATAAATTCCACCCACCCACCTAGCCCGGTCGCGTATGATTGTTCACCTGTACCTCGAACAATACGGACGAACCTTGTTCCAGTTACTGAACTGGATCTCGGGTTCAGTCACTTTACCGATTAGTACGCGCTTATCTATCCATCGATAATCACATAATTCGAAAATTCTTCGTTACTTTTATAATGTAATTATTTTATCGAAAAATAAGAGCAAAATTTGAAATTGCACGATAATGAAATGATGTCTAAAATCGAGAATATATGTTCCAGGATATTGTCATGGGTGAACAATGCTGAAGTAATCGAGGGAAAGGGACGGAAAGCATCGATACAGGTAAACGGTGGAGGCGCGACACGCGGGCTCGAATATGCCGGCGCATTAAGGGAGTGCGTATTCTCTGACAGTTTCATGTCAACAAATGTCGTGCCCGCCGAGTCGCGCCCAGTCGTAAGCCAAGCTTGTGCACCAGCGATCGCACGGCGTATTCGCGAGATTGACCAATGGTGTGCTGCCGTCACGCCACCATTCACCAATCAGGCCCGTTCCCAGTGACGGCAGTCGCTAAAAATAACCCGTATATATCTAGGCCGGTCGCAACCGCGAATTATCCACAGTCGTGCGCCGGCAGCCGACGGAGAAGGACGGTGTAGGGCGTACCGGGACGCTGCGTTGTCGTGTTCGCACTGAAAAGGTAGGAGCACCGTACACGCATTGAAAACAACCGTCTTCTCTGCACGTGATAAAGCTCTTTGTAGGTCGAGTCGCCTATTCTTGTAATATAGTTCGGGGGATGCAACAAGGTGTATCGAGGCTGCGGTAGTAATTTCATTCGGCTTCCCTCGTAGATTAGATTGTCAAGTATTTTCGTACTACCGAAGATACAGTTCTCGTTGCAACATTAGTGACACTTATTTATCGACTTATCGGAAGTAGCATTTTGTATTTATTTTTTGTTCTGTTTCGGAGATACTTTATGGCTGATTATTTATGAAAAATTGAGCATGGTCAAGGTATTGTTGATAGACTCTTTTATTATCGAAATTCGAAGGAACGGAACGTGCGGTGAAACAGGTGTCAAAATTATCAACAAGAATTTCCGTAGTGGAGTATCTTGAAAATCGAGTTCGCGGATAGCCAAGGTCGTGCGACTTACTGAGCGGAGCTTTATTACGAACATGTTGCATTATTACGGCAAGAGTCGAGAGAAGAATATGTTATAAACGCGGCGTTTACTTCACGACATAACTACATGATCAATTGCTTAAACATACTCTCAACTATTGCCGTATTGTTTTTTCATACCTTATTCATATTCATCAAAGATTCATGCAAGTCCTTGGGAAAAAAATTCCTTAAAAAGTCACAATAACGTTTCATCCTTTCCTCGTAACTTTTATTCTTTACAAATTCGATTCTCGAACGATCGCTGGACCGAAAATCGCGGCAATATTCGTGCATCGCGTTTCCATGAATATGAAGTTGGCTGTGAAGTCGAGGCTATCGGTTACCACGTTCACGCGATACAGGGTTGGGAGAGGTGCAGCGAAATCGTCGGGACGAAGTTTGTAAAAACGTTTAACAGCAATACCAAAAGTGTGTCGTTTGTGTGATTTGTCACGATGCGGTAGATTCGATTTGAGAATTTCTTGACTGGCAGCGACTCATGACACCTGAGGATGCACCCGTAATAATGCACGATTAGTGTCACGGAGAACATCTGATGTAGTGGGGAACCTTAAATATAGCAAAACAGAACATTGGCAACATTGTCACGAATCTAGTAAAGACTATATAGCATCCTCACACGGTACCAATGCTCTTGATTGCACAATACCTTGCTTTGAACTAAACATTCAAACTGAACACTTGTTCGTGGATTATTTTGCATTTACATATTTTTTTTTTATCGTCGTAACGAGCGTTTCGAGCAAAGCATGCAGTGTCGGTAAGAGAGAATTTTCTGGGTATATCGTGTTCGTTCGAGCATCTCTTTTGCGTGTACACGAATGAAAGTATAATGTTTATATTGGCATGTAAAGTGGAGTTAAGTAGGATCACAAATAACCGTAATCATAAAACCTCATATTACTGCGGCTTAAGCGCGGAGTGCGTTTATTATCAACGACTTAGTGTTTACTGGAAATGTATGCTCGTAAGGGAACATATTTATCCGTGGAAAAACAAACTTCGCGAATGCCTTAACTGTTCTTTAATCGAATCGTTTTATTTTTACGTCACTCGTGCAGATTCTCTTTTTTTTTTCAATTGTGACAGAATATTTTTATTATTCATCGTGTCTATTATTAACATTCGCATATTTTGAAAGAACATTGGACATTGGAAACGGTACTACGACGTGATCTATCGACTCTATAGTTCACGTTGGGATGAATATGAATGGTTTCTTCATTTTAATTTTCTAATTTGCATTCCCATGCTGATAAATAATCTCCAGTGGTTCCTTGTTATGTATATGGATATAAAAGAAGATAATTCTATATAAACAATTCTTTTAGAGATATTATTACAGTTCGTTAAGATATGAGTAAATATTGAGAGTGTGGCAGGACAAATTTACGAGCAAATATAGGCGCATCCTTACATAAACAATTTGTTACATAACATTCAAGTGGCAAAACAGAGTATACATGTTATAACAACTATTTACTGTTGCAAAATATATTCGATGAAAATATCATGTTCATTTCGAGATGAATTTTATCGGTCGGAATACGATCAGAGGAATAGTTAACGAAAATATTGTAAACAACCTTTAGAATCGACTCGAGTTGAATCTTCGCGGCGGATCGAGCTCGCGAAGTCACGAATCTTAAATGTTTACTTTCGTTTGTAAACTTCCTCCACGGCTGATAACCATTATACAACAATAATCTTATCTTTGCATTCACTATGCAAACGAGCCAATCTTCCCAAGGTGCAATCTGCTGGGCGTGATAATTAGCCGCAAGGTTGGACAGTGTAATAGCTGCATAACCTTTTTTTTTTTTTTTTTTTTTATATCGCCATTTTCATTACCATAATTTCTCACAACATTTTCGACAAAAATACATTTGAACGTTTTTATATCGAACCGTCTAGTATTCGGTGTTTATCAAATCGATAAAAATTCAGAAATTAAGATTATTTCGAGAATCTTCACTTTTGCGAAATCTGAATTTCGGACGAAATAATTTCATCTTTTGAAATCGAAACACCCACGTTGTTTTCGCAAATCCTGCTGATAAAATTCGGTGTGCGACAATTTCAGATATTGTGAAAGTACTACATGAATGGCCGAGTATTATGACACCTGATTACGAAAACCACTATGAATCTCGAAGGGAATGACTGAACGCCAGTTAAATCGCTTATGGTAACCACATCATATTGTGTCAATGGTTCCATTCCAACCTTTTAGTTCCTTTCTTTTTATCCCGGAAATGAGTTCTATTTTTTAAGTACTGTATTCTTTTTTCTTATTTTTTTGAAACTTCTTACAAAATTATTTTGCAATTGAGGAATTTTTCAATTTTTTTTTT